TTCGTCGTCTCATGGCGGCACGAGAAATTTGGTCAGGTTATGGCCTGTCCAGTGGAGTTAGAGCAGTCTAGTGTGGAACAGACTCGTGGACCACCTGTGAAATCGAAGATGGGAAGAGATAGAAAATCTTTTTGAAGTTTGCTGGGAAGTGCTTACTCTGGACTATCCTGGAACAATAACTTCACTTCACCCGAGTTACTATTGAAAGCCTACTGAACAAACCTACGTGGGTATACACCGATTCCGTTTAAAACAGGTTGATCTGTTTGATTTATAGCCTGGTAGATGAGATCCTATAACGGAAAACCGAAATCATTCGGCTGTAACACCCTTCCGGTGCTTAACTGCCATGCCACTCGAAGAAAGCACGACGGTTGGGATACTGTCAAGTTGCCCAGGCCTAGACAGAGGAAATCAAGATGCAGAGGTTGGGTTCCCCGCATGAACATTTCTTGTTCAATCAATGAAAAAATGAGGATAGAAACGTCCGCAATCCTTTTTCTTTGAATATGCATCTCCTGGAACCCGATTAGTGGCAGTGTTCAGTCATGACTGCAAAACTGGGTGGTCACATAGGCGTGTCGTGAGATCTACAGTTCAGTTGATGTAGACTACTACAACGATTAGGCTACTTCTAGTGAGACCAATACGACAACCTGCAACATACATCAATACTAATGGGAACGACTGTAGTACAGTAATAATCAACGCTGGTTACAAAAGGGTACTACGTTCTCATAAAAAATTCAGCTGCTTCTAAAACAAACTGGCATTTACAGCCACACGATACGCAGCTATCAAGTGTTTAAATCAGACACATGAGCATATCTTCCGTTAAACTGTATTGAAATTAAAACATGTTTAAGCCTTGTCAACCAGTTCCTACAATGCATATTTACATGGGATACTCAAATGTGCAAGAAACGCGTCGGAACTTACCTTTGAGCTATATTTGAGTCCATCACATTTGGAAGTTGACTGAAAGACGGATCATTGAGTAGGGTCACAGAATGATTGCTCTCCGATCTTAGTCCCGCTGGCGAAGACACAGGTGTCTTTTCGAATTTAGAGATGAGGTCAATAGGAGTTGCATCAATTTCGTTCATCAAAAGCGCCATCCCGGGTACATAGATAAGAGCATTGTCTACTGGGGGACAACCGGGTTCAGCTGGAACGGATTCTGGAGCACAAGAGACAATTTGAGCTTCTGAAGAACACACAGCCATGCTGTTCGGACCGATAGCGCCCTCGGTTGTCTGGGTAACCGGATCTGTGTACATGTGAAGTTTTCTTCGTGCTTTGTGGGTAGGTTCACACTCTTAGAAAGAAACGAAAAACCGTTTGATAGTGGTCATTTCGCCGGTGAAGGAAAATGATCGCAATAGTCTACAGTAACAACGGAACATGATATTAATGAGAAACAACGAAAATACTTTAACCAAGTTCTTAAATAGTACCTCTTCAGGTAACTGAGACAAACGAGGGAACAACGGTGGGTAAGACAGGGTGAAAAAAAGTACTGGGCTCACTGTCAAGTATTTAGGTAGGGTCATTTTGTAAACGGGTCATTCTGTAAACGATACAATCGCTAGTTAGGAAATGCTAGCAGATAACTTGCGATCTGATAACAGCTTTCTTGTGACAAAGTGATGAACAGAGGTGAGTTGCAACTTTCACAAACAGGTTTATGAATTAATGTATTATCTCGTTCAGTATTTATCACTTGAGCGGTATTCATCAATCTTAAACTAAGTAGAAGACACTTCGTCTTCTCCACTGCCGTAATTGAGTGCGTGGTCATCAAGTGTTCGTTTACCGCCTGCCTGCGATTGCCAAGAATGCCAGAAGACCGACATGTGCAAAAAACCCTTATCCCAAACCATAGGTCTGACGGAAGCAAGCTAGAAGCCATCGCTTCTATCGCACCAGAAGCCGTCAGCAGTCTGGACACGGACCCGAAGTACGTCATTATTAGGGAGAAATGGCCTAGTCCCACACTCATTAGAGTACCTGGACCCGGGTTATCGCTTCGTCCACACAAAGCATTATCGGTACACACCAGTGTTCTATGGAGATCCTGACCCCAACTTAAGGATATCTACCACCACACTTAATAACCAGCTCTGCCTACAGTTGGTGAGTGGAATGCTAATGTGGAACCAGTCGATATCTTATACACATATCAGCAATTCTGAGCTAACTTCGAGAACCAATCTACTGCTGACAGATGAGCTAGTCTTCCTAGAGGTAACATCGGGCAGGCCGTGTGCAACGAATATCCGCCAAGCCATGTGCAGTGTCAGCAAGTACTTGGGTTGAAAGGAACTGTGAATGTGCTAACCAATATGCTCACCGGTTCTGGAGGCTGATGTCTCACTGAACTGATGCAAGCTCGAGGCAGCTGTGATTAGAGTAATGACTGGAGGGCCCGTGATGTGAACCCAAACCTAGCATCTCCACTGCTTCTGTCTGAGTTTGGTTAATCTGGCACTGTTTCAACCGTCGTGCTTCCCTCAGACGGCACAGCAACTAAGCGCCGAACGAGTGAATTGATGCCTTGGTACACAGCGATGCAAAACAAGCAGAAGCTCACAGAAGTACCACTGTTCCCCTTTTGAATGCCCCTCGTTGGTTCTTCTAGAGTGATTGAACCTCAAGGAATTAAATTCTAACAGCGAAGATATCGAGATGATTGGCAAACAGCGATGAATTGTTGCTCCGTCGTAGGATGCCGATTCCCTGGATGGGGTATTGGAGACCATGATAGCCATTGGCTAACAATAACATTTCTGGCAACCTTATTAAAATTACACAATCATTTGAACGCGTTAGCATGGATTTTAAACGCTCACTTCCATCGAATTTCCACAAATACCTTTTAACAATGATCGACGAGTACTCCCATTTCCCATTCGCCTTCGCGCGTACGGAAGTGTCCTCATCCACTGTGATCAAGTGTTCTGACCAGTTGTTCTTTGTTCTGGATGCCCTCATACATCCGTTCTGATCGTTATGGAGCTTTCATGTCAGGTGAAGTACAAACGTTTCTTCACGACAGGAGTGTGGCAACCAGTCGAATTATCCCATACAATAGACGCGGTAAGGCATACGTTGAACGGCTTAACGATACTCTTTGAAGTCTATCAATGTGGCGTTGAAGACCTAACAGCGGGACGTTACTGAGTGAGAATGCGTGCTTCTAGATAACTTGCACTCTGATCGCTCCTTATTTTGTGCCGCTACTAACACAACACCACAGTGCAGCGGCTCCTGGAGGCGAAACGGCACTAATACACGAATCAGTAAAATTATAGATAATGTCCTACAGTAAGTCACAGACCAACAAAGTGGTTGACCATAAAATCTTCGAAACCGCGACGCCTGATCTATATTCTCCTGACAATAAACCCTCCGGCGGAGAAGGATGTTATCTACTAACGTGGTGTTAAAGCCATTTACTTGCTATTCATTAAACCAACTAATTATTAATGTTTTTGCTGGTGTACTGAAATTGTTAGAAGATTAAAACATATCATTCGGTGCTCCTCGTTCCCTATGTCTGGTTCAATTATTCGAGTGCACAAAAGCTAGCCCATGTTGGGGGTGACGAGATGTGCTGTCAGCATGGACAGTGCAAGGCTTAATGAGTGAACATATGTTTGGAGCTACGGCTCACCCACCGCCCTGATGTTTTTGTCTTCAAGGACATGGCTCAGTTGTTAGAGCGCGAATTTACTGACCGGAAGGCCCGTGGTTCGAACTCGACTTACCCTGTCTAGGTTTGGCAACCTGGCAGTATCCCAGCCCTCGTGCTTCCTTCGGGTGGCATGGCAGCTAAGGCAGAAAAGGGTGTTACAGCCGAATGACTGAGTTGATTGGTCAATCGCTAGTACTAGAGCTTGATCATTACTAGGAGTAGCTTCATTGGACCAAGTAGTTGCCATGCTGCTGGACGCCAGCACCCGTCCAAACATGACCATAAAAGAACCAACCATCACCATGCTGCTGGACGCCAGCAGCACCCGTCCAAACATGACCATAAAAGAACCACAGTTCTTGGCGTTGTTCTGGGCTATCGCTCCCAATGACCGACTTAAATCAATACTGCTAATGCTTTCGTATGTGCCGAAATTTCGTTCACCGAGCGCATACCTTGAGGTGGCTGTCTGGCTCCAGTGGTTTAATGACCTCGCAGAACACACTTAATAGAAAGTGATTCCAGCAGGTTTAGTAGGACGGGAGGGGAGTAAACAGAAAGCGAACAACAAATACAGGTACTATGGTCTGGAGTTAAAACCACACTGCCCTCTGTGATAGAAAGGAGTAGCGAGGTGTATGCTTTGGGCGAACGGCGTTTCTGTACTTCTAGGAACAGTGATCTGTCTTCTCCCAAGGACGATTTAGGAAAGGTTGGCACAAGAACGGCACATTCTGGTCGTCCAATCATCATTGATCTACCGAGCGCGGTCAAAAAACTACATCCTGCCCACAGCATTCACTGTACGCAGCAACGTCGGTAGTCAGCCTTCTACGCCCTACCTCCTGCACACTAGGACTAAACCAACTGTCCACAGCCATGTGAATCGGACTTCTGATCAAGAGGATACAAGCAAGTCCACAGAACAGGCCTTTAAATTCCGCCACCAAAATGAACCAGACTTTTGAGCTACGGGTTTACGGCGGGGTGTATTAACCAAACAGTCAACTTCGGACAACCCAGAAGTAACTTCTGTCCATGCGGTCTGGAGCAAGTCCCTTTTACTCACTAGTTTCAACTCCGATTCATGTCAATAAATTATCACCATCATTTGACAGCAACTTCAATAATTTAAGACACTTATGGCGGCAAATTGGCATACCCAGAATCTCAGTGGACGGGTGCATCAGGCTACAACACGGGTTGTTTTGTTGTAAGGCTGTGAGACGTAGCTTCGCGAGCAGTCTCTAGGTATTCGACAAGCGTTGCCTCAGGACCATCGCACCCGTTGGATGGCACCGGCAAATTCACAACAACTTAAGTGTGCAGCGGAGACTTTAATCGAGGACTTCATCCCGCGCCAAAAGCTGCGGTGGCTCGGTCATGCATTCAACATGCCGAATAATCGCCTGCCAAAATACGTGTTGTTCCCCGTGTACAATTTAAGGTGGCGCAAGCAGAGAAGTGAACCTTTGACTCGGCCGAGGAAAATGGAATGAATTACCAGAAGTCAGGGTACGGTCAGGGCGGCTCACCTTCGATGATGAGGTCCGCATGATCTTACCAGTACACGGTTGGAGAAGCTGCTACTCGTTGAGACTGCTACTCGTTGTCAACGGCGTTCTTATACGTAGTTTCTGAAACAGCGCCTCAGTGGCTACAGCGTGAATTTACTGACTGGAAGGTCTGTGGTTCAAACCCGACCTGTGCATGTCGACTTCCCCTGTAGAGGCTTGGGTAACCTGACAGTATCCCAGCCCTCGTGTTTCCTTCGAGTGGCATGATGGCAGTTAGGCATCGAAAGGTGCTACAGCTGAACGATTGTTTTAATCCACCTTTGTAATCGCTGTGTTATCCATCTGTTATAAGGCGTTTAACGCTCTTCGCTCTGCTGATGTAATATTTGGAGCTGCCGGGACTTAAGGACTGTGATCAGCTGTACCCGTAGCTCCAACCACTGGGCCCTTTGACCCCTGAGCTAATGTCGTCATGAACAAGAGGTCAAGTAACAGCTAGCTGAGGGTCCTTACCTGACGGTCAGTAATGCAATTACTTATAAAATGAATACCAGTTAAACTGAAGTTGGCAAGGTAATTGGTATCGATTGTACCCCCAAAGTGCAATCCAACCACGGCTTTATAGCCTACGGAAAATTCATGAACCGGATGTCCCGTTTCAAGCAACAGTAGACGGAATAGTTTCTCCTCCCGTGAGCTGGCCAGAGTTTTGTAAGGTATTCGAAAAAAACCTCACCGGAAAATCTAATACCTATTTTTGGGATTCATTTGACCTTGCCAATAAAGTAACGGGTATCACCGTTGAGCCAGATGACATCCTTGTATGTTTGAATAGCAGTTTGTTATATACAACGGTGGTTTTGATAGACATACGTACGAAGAATTTGGACAGAAAGCTCTAACCGGAATCTCATACTCACTCAAGATATTCTGGCGTTATGTAGGCGACACTTTCGTCGTGATAAAACGAGACAATGTCTGCGAGCTTTACAACTATCTCAATGAACCGGGTGCATACATCAACTCTACCGAGGTAGATTCAACCTCGAGTACACTGGCCTCTTCAGGCTATGACACATAAGGCCAGAGGAAACTTGTACGGCAGTGAAGCATCAGTGCCAACACTGATGTTGCTGTCATTGATGATGATGATGTTGATGAGAGGAAACTAAAGACCAGTGTCCGACAAGCCAACTGACACGGGGGCAGTCTGCCCATCGGAAGTCAGTGTTCGCTAGTATTGCGTCATCAATGTTTAGGCGCGTAAGGGTTCTGTGCAAAGAAGCTGATTCGACAGCTGTTCAAACTGAAATAAAGAGCAAACTTCAGGGTAGTGGATACCCAACTGGCTTGACTAGGCGTCAATTTCGAAAAGTGTTGGTGCCGGTAGGGAAACCCAACAGGGAATGGATCGGGACCGTTGTTATCCCATATAAACCAGGGACATCGGAGGTCGTTCGAAAAATTCTAAACACGGGTAAGATAAGAGTAGCTTTCCAAAGGGGGAACACTGCGCTCTTCACTGGTGCAATTGAAGGATCGCCTCCCGACAAACACATCCAGGGACTGTGCCTACAAAATTAAGTGTAACGACTGCACTAAGGTCTGTACAAGACAGGCGGCCAGTGAACTTAACGCCAAGACCGGATAACATAGGGGGAAAGTAAACAGACCGCTGAGAAACGCAGATGAATACCGAGCGTTACTGAAAGATTCGAAAACTGTGGAACATGCGCTGGACAGGGGATACAAAATTTTTTAAAAAAAGTTGAGGTTTTGAGGCGAGGACTACGGCCAGGTCACAGAGACTGATGACCGAGGCACTAGAGTTCTCCAAGCATCCTAGTGTTAACAGAATCGAATGCGTGTACCTGGCAGGCGTGTGAAGGACGATTTTGGATCAGTAGAGCTGACACGTGTTGGTGTGCGGTTATCAGAAGGAGTAGCCATAATCTGAATTGCACTTGACCTCACCCACCTTCCCTCCGCCCAACTAAGTTGTCGTAACACCTGCAAGCCCACGAACACCAACGAAATCTACCAGCAGCAGCCGCGGTGAATCATCAGTAGAAGCGCCTTGAAGTGGAATATCAAAGAACCAAACCAGTTGGAACTAGTTTGAAACTCACACAATCCACTCCTCCCAACCACACTAACCGACAAGAACCGTTAATTGACACTGATCTAGTGCGCTAACATGATTGTGTGCTTCAGAGTAACCTTAAAAAAGGCAGCAAGGTGACTTCCGAAGTCCAGCAATTAATAATGAGGTGTTTACTGCTGTCACCACAAACAAACGAGCACACAGAAGTTGCCGTTAGGTGTGGTACCAGCGGACAAAGCTCTCAGTTCTACTGCCAGGGCTTGAGAAGGGACCAGTCACCATACGATATATTAGGACGTGAGAAAGATGTGAAATGTGTGAATTGCGGCGTCGACAGTAGCATGTTTTCCTGATGTATGTAGGAAACAGTGTGACCCGGCTGGTAGCACCAAGCGACGATCGATGTGGAATGACACTATTTTAGCTGAGGTTTATGGCTGTACCCGAAGTGGACTACTGTCAGGCTACCTTGACAGGGGGCGAGTGGGTGCCTTATTTAAAACCTTTCGTGTAAAGCGAGGCTAAAATGCGGTGGGTGGGTACATCCATACCACCACAGTAGTACCGTTATATACTAATGGTGTGTCCCCATACATGTTCCAACCCTTAAGTTGGAAAAACAGGAGACAGCATTCGTCCGTCCTCTAACCACTAAGCAACCTGGTATATGACATTGCGGGTGCTGAAGTGAAACTTCACGGTATAGCCCAATAGGCAACAGAGGAACGCAAACGGTCACAATAAGGATCAGTGTTTGCAGCGAAAAGAACGCAAAACAAAACGTTTTCCCTTTAACCACCTCGTCATCTAGTGATATATCTGGTCTCTGAGATTCGTCACAAGAAGCAGCTAATAACAAATATATGAGACTTCAAAGAGTGAATTGTGGATTATTTGACAGGGGACCCAACAAGCGTATGAATCTAGTAAAATAATCAAAGTCTTATTTTTCAGCGGTTTTACGCGTATCGGGAGATTGTTTCTTTGTATGGGTTTCATCTCCGTAGTCAGGACTGAAGGTTACGGTTATGATGGACTCAATTGACCACTACTAGTTATGAGCACCCAAGCTAAAAGGGTTAACGTGTTTTGATCCATCGAAACCGAAGCTACTTCCGGTCCCAGTGCTCAACAGTATACGCAAGCGTTCCGCACCACCATAACCCCTTTTTACTGCTGGGCATATTGGGAAGCCAACGATGGGTAAGAAACGCATCAGAGGCATGAGAATTCATGTTAACCACAGGAACGGCATGGAGAAACTGGTAATCCAGTTTTGAAAAATGAAAAATATAGTAGCTTACCAAACTCCACAGCCCGAGTGAGGGAACCAGTGTAAGAGGAGGTGGGTGATGGAGCAGAGGACGGCGTGCGAATATTACGAGAGACCTTCTGCGAATGCTCATGGTTCTTTGGCCTCACGGAAGGAATATCGTCGCGACCGTCGAACGACTTTTGCTGAGAATTCATAAATACTGTGGGCATAACTGCACCACTGCTTGAACGGCTTTGTGTCAAGCCACTGAAGATGCAGCGACCTGAAGTGTACGCAGCATTTTGACGGGTAGGTCCTATTTGCGCGATTGCAGTTGTGGTGAAAGACTTTTGAAGGATATGGATGGGTCGTTCCTCTGACACAGGTACCAGCGATTTTTTCGAGGAAAAAAGAGAGCTATTGGTAATCTTTTCTTGTTTGCCCCAGCTAGTGGACTGTGAATATCTGGGACTTGGGTTTGTAGTACATATGCGCTTCGCACGCGATGGAGTTGCATATTCATGGTCATTCCCGATTCCTGTTTCCCCTCGAAATTCTAGGGCGACCGTGGGACGGTTGGTTGGCTCAGAACAGCTGGGAAGTGATGAACTATGAGCAGAGGCCTTCGTGGGTGTGAGAAATCGGGCACGTCCTGAAATACTAGAAATGCTCACATCGACAGGTTCCTTCCCATCGACTATCAACTGCTTCGTGTCTGATGGCATCTCATTTAGGTTCAACCTCAAATCGGAGAAACCAGAGCCGCAGAAGTCCGAGCCCACGTCGTTCTTTGACAAACGGACGCGCTTAGCACCAAATGACCGCCGGCTTTCCTCAACTAGGTTTGGAGAACTCGAGGAGTGAAACACCATCCGATGATAATCGGAATCCAAAGAATGCTGTACACTTAAGTTTCTGTTTTTCAGAGCATTATAATTGCTTGTCATGTGTTGAGCGACAGAAGCCCTGCGGACGACAGTCAGCAAAGGACACAAATGGAGGGACAGACCCTTGGGGAACTGTGCTCTCTGAGTGGTTGGTGAGTGGTCGATGATACACGTAGCCTGGATGCGGATGTCTCCCACTTTAAGTACCTGGCCTGCATTCGGCGGTGAGTAAACCCCTCGTCAGCAGGTTTGAGAGCCAGGACGAATTTCCATGTCTATAAGGGTAAAATATTTGCGGGGGAAATTCCAAAGATTAGCATCCGTGTCAGGAAATATGGCATGGTAATTTTACGGTAACCTTAAGGCAGTAGAGCAGTAAAATTAAAGCGATACCTCAAAAATGTGTAAGACTAACGCTGTTCTCAGACATACGAAAACCGTGAATAAAATGGAACAAGGATCATTTCTGGCTCATAGGTGAACGGTCCCGGAAATTCAGAAGTATCACTAAACATAGACAGCTACGAAAAGCCTTGAGCCTTACCGTTCGGCAGGCACGACTTTTTGACTAAGTATTTTGCCTTCACGTTTCCAACTGAAACGGCCGTCGCGGCTTTTTGAGTCGAAAGTCAGCCAATCAACTATTCGTATTTAGTCAACGCTGACTGCCGGCGTAAGGAACAAAGAGCCACAACAATTGAAATGACGCGCCACTTCAACACTTAAACAATTTCGAAGGGGAGTGCATTTCGACTAACTCGATCGGTGAGCCCATGTGTGCGTGGAAAAAGAGACGGCATGAGTACACACGCGTCCTTTCGCGGTGATTCATGAAAATCTCACAATATGCCGACGGTGGAATAATGACGACCTGACGATGAACGACAAGCTGGTCGCCAGAATCCCCCAGGGTGGCATCCATGCTACTGATGCACTCAAGCTATGTGGAGGTGATGCATAAAACTTTGAAAGAGAACCTGCTAATGTAGCTATTATTCCATCCAAAGGTGCTTCCAGGCTGTGCCCTAACGAATTCACAATAAAGAAAATTACTCGGTAAGATCGGACCCAAGTGAATATAGCTACAATAAACTCAGGATGTGGTTGGCACTCTTCGTAGGTCATCTGGGTTAGCCATCTCAGAGCGTTATGGAAAGGTAAAGTTACACGAAACACCCGTAACATAAAACTGCTGACTGCTTCTGCGGCCTTATTCGGTCACCACTCCCTCGGAATGGAATAAGTACTGATGGCACACGGTCGTGTTATGCAAATTCAAGTGGCGGCCGATAGCCTGAATGCGTTTCTGTTTGAATCCGTGGTTCACCAGACAAGTAGGAATCCAAATACTCGTATCATTCTCAAGTATTTTATCAGAATTGGGAGGCTGGCGCAAAGCGTTAATGCTATTGAGATGGTCGGAGGTTCCTGGGATCGCTGCGCGACAGTTCAACCCATCAAACGGGTGCTCTCACTCAGGAGGAGTGGGGCTTTCCGCTGAGCGCAGATATGAATCGCCTTAAGTTGGTGGGAGAAAAAGGCTAGGCTTTGCGGTAAGAGAAAGAGAATACTAGATTGTTCTCCGAGCTAGGCAATCCGAGTGCAAACGTTTTCTAACCAGCCGAGGTGACACCGTCGGTGAGCTGTCAGGGAGCTCGGTACAGTTTTGACACTGCTAAGTGGTTGCGCATCGAGTAATGGTGCGATTGTGCTAACATCCCTGCTGCCAAACATGACTTACATCCTTTCGCGATTGGATCCTCGGCAGGGCGGTTCAATCGGTGAGTCTGTTATTCTATGAACTGGTTTGTCGAGGATGATGTAACTTGTGAGCTGGGTCAATCCCGCTATAAATAACTGTGCAGTGTGGTTAACTGCTGTTTATATAGCTCAAGGGACTCTCCGAATCAAGCAGTTTTCAGTGAATAGCGCCCGTCTTTTTGGTCGCTGCAGCTCAGGGTTGCGTAAAGACTTTGGGATTGTATCTGAAGGACGGCGTTCCGCAAATGCAGGCAATGCATGACGGCGACTGCCGCTTCACGGATTCACGGATTGGTACACAGGATCGAGGCTTTCGCCCAAGTTTCCCGTGTCGGTTTCTTTCTTATCGATCAGTGGCTGTCGTTCACCTGAAAGGCACAAGTGAAAAAAGGGTGTAGCACTGCTCTTTATGTTCTCAGCGCCGGGCAGTATGATTGCCAGCGCGAGGATTCGCATAAATAAATGTCTAATAGTGCTTTAAATTGGGTTCTAGAAGGAGCGTGTACAACCATCGGAGGAAGGTCATTCCACGCAGCTACTACCCAAAATGAAAAAAATTTGTCT